TGTGACTTAGAAATGACTTATTTGTCTCTGAATTACAGATAATTTAATGATATTTTCCAAAAGAATACGTTTTCATTCGTGATCTCATATACGATTACATATTTGAAAAACTTTTTTCAAAAATATTTTTTGCACTCAAAAGCCTCGGCATATGTCAGAGAGATGTATCGGAGTGTAAGCCATAGGAATCGGTTGTAAATAAAATCCTTATAAATCACTTGCCATTCATGCAAACCTTAGCCCAAAACGAGATCTATTTCTCATTTCATTCATTGGTTTGCGGTTTTTTCAGTCAATTTATACGATAAATACACTCAACTGTGTATTAATACATCACATAATACACTGCAACGAATAAATCCAGTTTTCATTTCATTTAGTAATTTGTTTAATTTGATTTTTTAGACACAAAAAAATACATATAATTTTATTTATCTATTTGATACGCTCTTAATATGCAATTTCAATCTCATCTGAGCGCACAAAATAGTCTAACCTATAATTAGGTGTATTTAATGGTAGAAAACGGATTAATTGCTTAATTTGTGACTTAGAAATGACTTATTTGTCTCTGAATTACAGATAATTTAATGATATTTTCCAAAAGAATACGTTTTCATTCGTGATCTCATATACGATTACATATTTGAAAAACTTTTTTCAAAAATATTATTTTGCACTCAAAAGCCTCGGCATATGTTAGAGAGATGTATCGGAGTGTAAGCCATAGGAATCGGTTGTAAATAAAATCCTTATAAATCACTTGCCATTCATGCAAACCTTAGCCCAAAACGAGATCTATTTCTCATTTCATTCATTGGTTTGAGGTTTTTTCAGTCAATTTATACGATAAATACACTCAACTGAGTATTAATACATCACATAATACACTGCAACGAATAAATCCAGTTTTCATTTCATTTAGTAATTTGTTTAATTTGATTTTTTAGACACAAAAAAATTACATATAATTTTATTTATCTATTTGATACGCTCTTAATATGCAATTTCAATCTCATCTGAGCGCACAAAATAGTCTAACCTATAATTAGGTGTATTTAATGGTAGAAAACGGATTAATTGCTTAATTAGCGCTAATTATTTGGGATAAATCAGTCATTATTATTATTTTTGGTTTTTGCTTATTGAAAATTATTAGCTAAATTATATGATTAAATTAATGTCTGAGAATAATGTGAAGGAATTTGTGATTATTAATGAGAATGGGAGCCAATATTTTCGATGACTTTTATCTCTGGGTATAAATAAATAATAAGTTTTTTTTGTTATGAAATATGTATTCACATGATTACGTAAACCCTAATTACACATTATATTTTTATTATATTTTGTCTGTTTGTTAGATTTGGCCCTAAATAATGCCTAATTTTGACCCAAATTTGCCACATTTATCGCAATGTAATATTAATTTAATATTCCATATTCTCTCTCTCTCTCTCTCTCTCTCTCTCGAATCCAATGAATGGCTATATTTTGCTGTTTAATGCATTATAATTAATCAATTAAACAATTAAACCGCAAAGATATTAACATTTGATTAGCAAATGTATGTCTCGTTATATGTAAAGACACGCCAAAATCATTTACGAATCAAATTAAATTTTTTATGCTCAGAAATCTGATTAAATTTCTGATCATTTTATTTCCAAATGATATATAAATTATCTGGTTGCATATAAAAAATCAAGGAATATTTTATGGCTTAAACCACACATTCAATGGCAGTACTGTATATCTGTGTCGAGAATTTTAAAATTGAAAATCGCTTATCGTTTTGTGAATATTACATACGAAACCCTATATTTTGTTTATGATACTCGGCGTAACAAATCATTTTGAAATATGAATATTATTTTCATATTAAGAAACGTTTTTATAATCATTTTTATACTTCATTTCGATCGCAGCACTCGATATGCGAGACATAAATTCAAAAATAATTGAAAAAACTTTGAGAAAATCTGTTAGAAATTAGTGGAAAAGCGAAACAACAACAAAACAGTGTTTTTGATAGAAATTTATCGCAAAGTAATGAATGGTTTTGAGTATCTGTCCCAATCTTTTTTACTCATAAGAAAATTATTGACTTATATTTTATCAAAAAGTATGAAAAATATTAATTTTTTGTTTTCTTTGTTTTTGATGTCTTATAGTTGGGACGAGTGGTGACACTTATGGAGGAAGAAGGGGTGAGTAGTTTTTTGGGCACTAATTATAATTGAATTGTTAATTGATTGACAGAAATCTCATCACAAAAATTAGATGAAATGATTAGAAAAAATTAAAAATCCATTTTTTTCGGTCGACATCTCTCTTAAGTCTCTCTCACACATAGACTTCTCTCTCAACCATTTGTTTCGCATAATATTTTGCCGAAAAAAAACTAAAGCAACACAAAACTCAAGAAACTTTTATTATATATAAACTAATTATAAAATGCAAACAAAAACAAAGTCAAAGTCAAACGCAATTAATTTCCTGCGCCTCCAGTCATGTATGAAAAACACTATAACTTCTTATATAAGAGTAAAAGTCTATGTCTTCAGTGTAAAGGGAAAGCCAAAAGTCGTCTAAAAACTTATTAAAGCCTAACAAATAATTGCCAATTATTTATATTAATAATATTATTATAGCTTTTTTAAGGTACACTCGCTCTCTCTCTCGCTCTCTCTCTCTCGCTCTCTCTCTCTCGCTCTCTCTCTCGCTCTCTCTCTCTCGCGCTCTCTCTCTCTCTCTCTCTCTCGTTTGTATTCATTTAACTGTTGCGACACAACAAACGTCTTGAGGGAAAATGAACTCTTCATTCATTGGGAGCGCACTCGACGTCTTGAGCCCTGAGCTAAACAGTCGTTTGCACTCAGATTTCCATACATTATATAAAAGGAGATCGTCTCATGTCTTATATACGATATATTTTAGGGGTCACTGAACTTCCAGTCAAAAAACAAATAATAATTTTCATTTCGGACCAGAAGTGCGGACCAGTTTTCCTCCGGTGCTCCTGTTTTACCCATGGATTCACTCTCGCGATACTCACGTATATAACTCATAGTGAAAGGCCTGTCCTTTATTCCCTGTGTGTATGTGTTGGCCCCATGTCTTCCCACTGACTACTGACTACTCCTTTACCTCCTTTTACTCTCTCTTTTCTCCATTCATTTCGGCTATTATTGCGAATTGAATCCTAAAATTCAAGAGCAATGGACCGCAAAATTGCTGTCAAAAGTTTTCAGACCCGATCCAACCATTTATATACACACAGCGTATACACTGTAAGGAAAATACATTCTTCTGTCAGTCCTTCACATCACATCCCAGTGTCCTCTCATCTGTTAAATCACACGTTGGCTTAGATTAAACTCATGGCTCGGCTCTCGACGAGAGAGTTTGACAACCAATCGAGAGGTGTATTAGTTTTTGTTTGATTTCATAAACATTGAATACCTGAGAGGGAGGGCTGGTGTGAGTGTGCGAGACATGAGAGAGAAGTTTGAATAAAAAACTTTTTTTTGATAAGCATTTGATCGCAAAACTCATTGAAAAGGCAATAGTTTTCGCACTGTTTGCCAAACACTTACGCCAATCGCGGCGCTGGGGATAGGGATATAGAAACACAGACAACACAATCGATGTGTTGATTATTATCTAATCATTTCATTTCATTTATCATTTAGTCGTATAATTATCTCTGAAATGTGTTGATGTGTGCGTACAGGTGTCCACTTGGGGCCGGGCTTTTCAGTTCATAGACGAGGCATCAACGCTAGCCTACCTGACGAACCGGGAGTCATCACTGGGAGGCTATAACACAGTGATCGCACAATTTCACCCCCGAGACCCCAAAGAGGACCCGTTCCCAGTGCTCGTATACATAGCACTGCCCTGTAATTCACTATTTCTGGGGTCAGCGCCTCTGGACTCGATCGCCAAAGACATCGCTCTGTCTGAAGGCATGTGCGGACCTAATGTCGAGTATTTGGCGAAACTGTCGGCATTCATGCGCATCCATTTGCCGCACGAGTCCGACGACCACTTGTATCGTTTGGAGGATTTGGTCCGAAAGCTGATCCGAGAGCACGAGGAATGCGACGACAAGTTAGAGAAAATCTTTGACGAGGCGTTGGAGCGAGAGATCACGGATTTGACGGAATATAAGTCTGTTATCCATCGGATGGATGAGCTGACGCTCGACGACAACTCCTATCACTCAACGACTTCCAGTGCGTCCAGCAGTAGCTCATCCCTGCAGTCGGCCAACAGCACAGACATCGGAAGCTCCGGCACCGCCAGTCAATGGCTATCATCAGAGTCGACGTCCAGACACACGGATAGAGTGACGGCCCGGAAGTTGCGCTGTATTAACAAATAGACAAACAGTTATTATTATGATTACTATACACACGATATTATCCAACGAACGGACAGTTGCATAAAAATATATGAAAAATTATAAACGCATTTATCTATTAGTTTTTGAGAGAAATTTGCAGCGATTTTATTGTAAACCCAAACGACAGCTCTATTTATTTTGCATTCATTTTGATGACAATCACTGATTGATAGCTACGGCTGATGGATGGATACGATACGGCTTATCCGTACAATAGAGGGAAAGCAAAATGATAACTAAAATATAAAAATTTATTTTTAATTCAATGTATATTTAAATGCGCGATAAAAAAGAAGTTGAATTTTGTTTTTTGTTTTTTTCTACAAATAAAAATGTTTTTTATTTATAATCATTGAATGTTTTTATTTGCATTGTCAGTGGATGTATATATTTACAAATAATCCCGATTTAAAGTGTATTTTTAAACCGTGCGCCGAGAATGGGTGAGTGAGTTATTGTCGGGGAACAGGTAGGTTTGCGAGAATACACTGGGAGAGTGAGAGAGCACCTGTAGCCCAGGCCACGGAGCTGAATAGAGATGATTATAGTAATGAAATCGCACACAAATGTTGTACTTCTTATACAAAATGTGAGAAAAAAGGAGAGGAAAGAGAAGAAAAATAGAGTCGAAGAGAAAACACTGTAAGGAAAAGCATTGGTGAGCACCGGGACTCTGTTTTAGGGAAAGGGGGCTGAGATGTGCACATAGGCAGTGGTGGTGCGCTTAGTATATTTGAGTGGTTTTTATAGCGAAAGAATAGTAAAAAGAATAAGAAATAAGATTTGTTCCCACATTTTCCCACGACTGGGTCGTTGCCTACAGTTTCACTCAGTTGTGTGGCTGTATATACACCGTATGTATGCGCGAAGCCAGGTTGTAGAGCACTGGCTGCTGACTGACTGCCTGAGCGCTGTGGCACTGGTAGGCTATAGTGTAGCCATTACTGACTCTACCCATCGCTACCCATCGCGTGCCGAAACAGGTGAAAGACGTTCGTGAGAACGCACTGACTCACAGATTCAGATACCTTAAGGCTTGAGATACCTCTCTCTCTCTCTCTCTCTCTCGCAAGTGCCAGCCAGGCTAGTTTTTCTCGAGTGTGTTGGTCATGATAAGCACCAGTAGCACAGCTGGCAATAGTAGCAAATCAGGCCATACTATAAGAACTGGACGTTCATTACGGTCTCCACTGTTAAGACTTAAGACTTAAACATCTCGTCCACTGACTGTATAATATTGACTACACTTTGAGTTTTTTCTTAAACTTTTTTAAATAAAGTCAAATATAATTCTTATTTAGTGTTTTTGACTACCAATCCATGTGTGCCTGTATTTATCGTTTTAAAAATCCAATACAAAGTATATGTTATAACAAAGTTAGCCCTGATATTTGGGCCAAACATTGGCAAAAAACTTACTTCAGCAGTCGTTATAATGATTACTATCTTTACATAATTTCATGACTTATAAAAACGTTTTCTTATTATTATCTCTAATCCTACCGTATAGTCGTTGCCAATAATATTATTTTTTATGATTTCTTTACTAGTTTTAGCGATTTTTTCTCGCATTTTCTTATCCCAAAAACTTTTCGTAAACTGTTATCAATTTATTAATCAATTCGCAAACTATCTGCTCATTTAATTAATGTGAAGTTTTACCCCAATTATACCGTACTGCATCGTGAAATCAGCATTTATTGTATTCAATACACACTACTTTGTATAATAGTTTTGTCTGAAGTGTTTTTTGTTGCTTTTATTATTATTCAATAGTTTTCTTATTCTTTTGGCTCTGTTTTTGTTGTTTTGTTATAAATATATACATATCTATAGGAAATACAAAGTCAGACAACACACAACACTTGCGAATCAATTGTTTGCTCCTAAATAATAATAATGAGTTTGTTATCTGTGTTTTGTATTGAGAATAATAATAATAAAAAGACTTTCCAAACAGTTATGTCATTCAAAATCAAAACCATTTATTTAGCGATCAATCAATGGGACGGTCTATGAATTTTTGACCCCATTTAAGGCCCTCAACACACACTGTGAGGGCTATTGCTATCAAATAAATAAACTACAAATTCAAAGCCTCCCTCACAATCCAATTCTTTAACTAAAAATTTAAATCCTTTTGTAAAATACATGTTTACATAAACGCAATGAAAATCCAACGATTCTGTAGTCGATTAACCTTTCAATCTCAGTGGCACTGGTATGCGTTGACTGTGGGTTTGCACTGTAAGCCACACTCAATAATCTCATTGACAAGTGAACTAATGCCTGAATATTATACAGAATTTGTCTCGTATTTCATCACATAATTTGAATTCTCAGTGAAAGCGGAGAAAACTTTTTTCCCACAAAAAAGAGTTCTTTAAAAAAGGATTTAAAAGCAATTTTTTAGTTAAACAACCAAAACATGTCAATCAATTGAGCAAGTTATATGTTTAACACTTTTTTTGTCGTCATATTTATGATGTAATTCATATTGTTATGAATCCAAAACGTATGGTCAGACTCTTTGGTGCCGGTATTCCTGTATATTCGTGGGGGGAATGGTGTGAATGGATGCCCTAATACTATAATGTATTCATTACCTGATCATAGGGTTCGTGCAAATGAATGGAAAAGAGTGGTAACCGGTGTTGCGATAACGCACTCAACATCTCCTCAAACGACATGTAAAATAAATCTATTTTTAGTACACAATTGTATTTCTTTTCCTTTCCTCCTTTTCCTCTCTCTCTCTCTCTCTCTCTCTCTTCCCTCACTTTCTCACTCCTCTTATTCTGTCTATATTTCTGTAGTAAAATGCAAATTATAAATAGTTTATATTCTCTCTCTCTCTCTCTCTCTCTCTCTCTCTCTCTCAACACTCGAAAGAAGTGATTACAAGAACTACAAGAGCGAAGAGGCGCACGTGTTTTTGCCTGTACTACCAGTCCATTCCCACGACTTGGATCTCCTATTTTTGCTTATGGTGTCCACCACGCGAACACCTTTTGCCCCCTGGCCTTCCCTGTCAATCATTGTATAACACATACATAGTATACATATGGTGTATATAAGACATAAGAAAACAGTCCATTATTTTTAAACTGTGCACTCATTTCATTATATTTCTCTCTCGCATGACATTAAGAAAAGACTAAAAAATTTGAATTTCATTTCATTATTCAAATGAATTAATGAATTTAATTAAAAGAGCTGTGAATTGGACGCACAGTTGGTGTAAGTGTTGTTCCCCTCTACCTATGATTATAACATACTATTTATATGAACTTTTCAAAGGTATACTGACTTTGAATTAAATTATTCCTTACAACGAGTTATATGAATACAAACTTATGTATCCATTATTTCACTCTCCATTCAATTGTTATAATAATAGGCAATAAATAGCAAAATGAATAATCATTTGAACAGAAATATCACAAAAAAGATATCTTTCGCATAGACTTAGAGATAGAGAGACAGGCAATGGTTTGTGTGTTATATAAGTCATAATGAAAACTGGAGTCACATCTGAATGCCTCCCAAATTACCATCTCTTGAGTGGCTGAGCATTACAGCTCTCATACATAAAACAGAAGTCAAGGTTAAGTTAACTCAAACTTTTTCGGTGAAAACTTTTCTAACATTTCGACTCTTGTTTAGTGTATATATTTTGTGTTGTTTTTCGGGAGTCAATATTGAAAATGAGTGAAGTTTTGTTTTTTGCTCGTGAACTACCTCTCTCTCTCTCCCTCTCTCTCTCTCTCTCTCTCTCTCTCTCCCACTCTCATCTATTATTGTAGTCAACACTGGAAATAATGGCTACACTAATAGTTTGTGCACCTGTTGTTCCCGTGTATATTGTATGCAAGCACTGGTAGACTATTGAATTGGTTCGGACACATTCGACTAATTCAATAATAAGTTCAAGATAAATGCAAACGATAATAACATTTGATATAAATTTTGTTGACTCTAAACAAATTCATAATATTCAACGTCTAGTGCTTTCTCTCTCACAGAATAATGACTGAGAATTTTGTTTTAGACTTTTTATTGAACGTAGACTTTATTCATACAAAATGATTAATTAATAGTCTATTAACTAGTAGAGAGACTTTCGTAAACGCAATGGAAAGTTAGCACGAAATGTGCAATTTTTATTATATATTCTGTTTGTAGACATTAGAGGTTTTGAATACTAGCCACTCGTATATAAGACTTATTTAAAAACTTGATTTTCATATTAAACCCTCAAATGTGTTCACCACTTATGTAGTAACGACACCAACAAAATTCAAATCACACGAATATTTAGTGATACTATTTTTGATTTAATATATTTTTCGTACATAAATACTACTGAATGAATGTGTAAAATATTTTGTCAAAAATAAATTTTATGAGTTGTGTGTCCTTAGCAGACATATGGCCAACAAATTTGTTGTAAAAACTTTTTATTCTTAACAGTGAGAGAGAGGCAACACTTTGAAGACAAAGTTTGCGACTCTCTCTCTCTCTCTCTCTCTCTCTCTCTAATTTTACAAATTTTCAGATTTATGTATGTTTCAGAATTTGGAATACCAGTTATCAACTCACGCTAAATTTTGATAAATGCAAAAATGCCGTATATCTCGTCGTATCCATTGATCTACTGCTGAACTGTTGGAGCAAAGCCTCAGTCCTTCCTGTTTCCTGTGCTCTCACTCTATGTCTCTCTCACTCGCACTCACACTCTCTATCCTCTATCCTATGCCCCGAATGGTGTCTTTTGGCACATTTCCTCACTAGTGAACGGTTCCCACCGGAAAAAAATATCTATACGTTTTGGCTGTAGTAGTGGTGGTGTTTCGGCTCCCAAAACAAAATAGTTTTTCGACAAAAATCCTTAAAATTTTCTTCTCATTCTCTCTGATTATTATTGTTTCGTTTGTTTTCGAGAGAGAGAGAGAGAGAGAGAGAGAGAGAGAGAGAGTAGAGAGTCGTGTCTTTGAAATACTTTTGAATATGTATTGAGTATTTTGAGTATTTTTTTGTCAAAGAGAGAGAAAACGAGTCTCTATTTTCTTACATCCTTTGTCTCTCTCGCTGTGGAAACTTATGTCTCAAATGTCTTATGTTTTTTGCATATGAATGAGAGAAAAGAGGAAAAAAGTGTTTTCTTTTGTTTCTAGGAATTGTATTTTGGGTTTTAATTGAATTAAATTCAATGCACTTTTTGCCAGAGAATCGTAAATTAATTTCTTCTAAAGTGAATGTCAAGTGCTTGTCATAAACGATAATAAATTATACAATTAATGCACTGTTTATTCCCATTTGACTAAAACCTTATTATATTAAATATAA